AGATAATTTTACAGATAGTATTTCATTAGTCTGTGTAGGGTATAGATTTCATGTAGACTTAAGATAATAAATATACCCGTTATTTTTTCTACATCGTTGTGACATTTTGGCGATCTCGCAATCGCTAGTTTGTTGGCTCTGTGCTGCCGTAGCGCAAAGATGTCTGCCTCCATGGCAGCGAGACCCGCTCCTATGTAATTATAAATAACGAATTCTAAGGCAACGCAAATATTAAGGTTAAGAGGCTGAGCTCGTAGATGATGATAAATAACATAGTTATGTATAATATATTACATTTCTGACTGTATATCCCTGTAATTATTACACACTGTAGCTTTAAGTCGGTGGACGTAAACTGCATTTATTCTAATCTCTTTTCATATTATCTGAATTTACACTATTTAAATGGTATGTAGTACAGTATGTCAAGTATGTATTATGGTGGCATAGAAGAGTGAGTGTGGGTGTGTCTTATGGGCCTACCTCAGTTCGTAAAACTTAACTGTATACTGAGGAAGTAATTATACAATTTTATTCAGGTGTGTGGGGAAAGAAACACATCTAAAAAGACACCGGACTATGAGGACTGGCATTGTTTAACTGCCCTGTAGAGCCAGGGGTCTTCAACGTTTTCCAGGCCAAGGACCCCCAAACTGATGCCGAGGTGGAGCGAGGACCCCCTGATTATGTATATTATTTTAATTTGCGTTAAATCAAACTGGTCCTATAGTCACTCTATTACATATAGAGTAATGTAGCGAAAGTAATTTTACACTGGGCTTATTAAAGTATTTCTGATTCAGATTCCTGGTTGATGGGACAGGTGTTGTGAATGAAACATTGCCCAGTTTGAAAGAGCTCCTGTGTGTCGCTGAATGTGTGCATTATTGACTGAAAGTATTTTGCAGTAAGACATTTCAATTAGACCCCCTAGGGGTCACGGACCCCTGCTGAACACCTTCGCTTTAGAGAGATACACAAAATTAAAAAAATAAAGTATACTATTATAGAGAAATACAAATATTGGGCTTTTAGAGGGATGACCGCATGGTGTGTTCCTGTGAAAAATGAAGGTTAGAGAGTTTTCAGCAACTGAATCAGAAATGCATTTTTTTTTCTCCAAATGAGAAACTACAATAAAACTATGATACAGACATCCCCCTCTGAAGAAGAAAGTGACGTGATCCAAGTTATAACCAAGGCCTATGAGAACAGGGATCTAAGAACAATCACAGCATTATATAAAGCCTTTGGAAACATGAATAAAGACACAACTACCTAGTGAAGTATAGATGGAGAAATAGAGTTGAACATAAATATTGATGATGACGAATGGTGGGATATATGGAGGGTACATCAGCCCACTACTGGCTCACAGGCATAGAGGGATCTCGCCTGGAAGAATTTAATATGATTTTTTTATTACATCAAAAAAAAAAGCAAACAGTTAAAAAGCCCTCTGAATTGTTGGAGAGGATGTGAAGCAGTCGATGGGGACCTTTCACATACCTTCTGGAAATGTCATTAAATACAGGTGTTCTGGGGAATGATCTGTAATGTCCTATGTAATGGCTTAGAATAAAAAGAGACCTGAAATTCTGTACTTGTGGGAATTCCCAGATGGATTTTTTCATGACAATGGTCATTATCAGGTTAAGATGTTGTTGATAGCGGCTAAAAAGCAATATAGGAACTGGAGGAAAGAATAAATTACATCAAAGGAGCATCTGACAGCTATAGTGAAGAATATTTTTCTGATGGAACAATTGACACACAGTTTTGGATTAGAAGTACCATAAATGGACAATAAATGGAAAAATAGTAACTTTAAATGAAAACATGATGACTGTGAAGGCAAAGATGTATTACCGTATATATGCTCTGGGTAAAAACACTTTAACTCAATAAAATATAAGCTATAAAAATATATGTATTATTGTATGTTGAACTGTAAAGCTGCCTATGCTAAAGTATGAGAATGGCGATAAATCAAGTCTTTAAACAGTTCTATAAGTCATATAAATACCGTTGAAATGATAATTGAACAATCCCCGTAGAAAATGGGGTCTTGAGAATTTACACCCTTGTAATGCATGGCTATGCTTTCCGTCATAATGTATTACCAAAGATAGGGTGACAGAACTCAATAATATCCGCCATGGTCTGTTTATAACAGAAAAGCTTGCCTCCAAGATAGATTTAATATATAAAAGGCCCAACCAAGATTCTAAGGTCATATTAAAATGAGTGATTTTATGAAATATCCTGAAGAAGAAAAGCTGAGTATTGGTTTTGATGGATGTACAAAAAGGATGAATCACAAAGTCCCACTTTTCATTTTACTAAAGTTGAAAATCTGGACTTATTATTGCAATGACTTGGACCTAAACGAAAAAAGAAAAAAGAAAAATACTAGTGCTAAGGCTGAAAAACATATGAAAGTGCAAAGCTTCATGAAAGCTGTGTAACAGAAATATCCTAAAGAACATAAGTTCAAAAGTAATTTATCCACAACAGAAAATATGCCCTTTGTCCAAAAGCATATTTAATTATCCCCCATGGAGAGACAGAAAAATATTTGCCCATTTGTGGTTCAATAAAACTCGATTAACCTACGGTGAACTGCAGTATGAGACAAAGTCTCAAATTGGTTAGTTCATTGTAGAGGACTAAAATTGCTTCCAACTTCATAATTTCAGCAATTTGTCAAACTTTCCTTCAGTTTTGCAATTATCTTAAGGCCTAATGAAATTGCACACTTTTTCAAATAAACTAAGATCTTTATGTTGTTGAAGGATATATTATTAGGTTGCTGCAGTCTGCTCGGTGTAAGAAAAAGCAGAAAGTAAAAAGTTTATTCTTTTTTCATTTTTCAACTGGGCTTTGTTGTCTCAATGTACTGTCTTAGAGTTTTCTAAGCAATAAAAAAAATCTATCCTGCAAGTGAAGATCAAGTCAGTGTTGTTTCTAGTATTTTTATTACTAAAAGTAATCAATACTTTCCTTAAAAATATTTAGAAGTATCAAAGCTGGCTATAGGTTATTTAAACGTCGTACTAAACAGTTTCGTTTGATTCACTGAAGGACAATATGGTTTTGTTAACCATATCAAGACATTAAAAGACTGCTATGGAAAATAGGTTACTAGTACTGCAGATTGATGGTTATTGGTTTTCTGTGATAATTCTGATGTTTTGATGATTTGCTGTTCACCTGATTGATATTTCTAAGGATTTCTGTGCACATTTGTTTGTATGTTCTTATGATGTAAGGCACTTTGAATTCCCTCGCTGCTGAAATGTGCAAATTAAATCTTTACTAATGAAAATTATAAATTATAATAGGAGCTTGTCTCAAAACATTTTAAATATTCACTAACTTTGTTTTCTTTAAAGAGTTCCTTCTTTCATTTAGTTAATTATTGCTTAAAACTAAAGCTAAATACCAAGTCAGGGTTCTATGGAGGGTTAAAGGAGGGAAATCCAATAAATTTATTTATGAAATAACTAAATTAACTTTTAAATTAATAAATGTACAATGAACTAAATGAATATAACATTAAATATATAAATAAATGTAAATATTTAAATGCCAGACTTTTATCGGGAAATATTGCCGTTAATCTATTCTCAGGTTAGAATTCAAGTTAGAAATAATCGATTCAGAATTAATATTTATCTGAATAAACACTTATTAAATTATCTTATTATATATTACTTATTATTATAATATTATTTATTTTTATCATCAGTTATCATAGTAGAAAAGCTTTTTCAAGCAGTTTGCGATGTATTTTGGAAACAGGACATGGGCCCTGGTCTAATTTGCCACCTGTTCAAAGACTTACTTTTATTTATTATTTAGGTAGCACAGACATATCACCCCTATTTTATTCCTACCCTTATCTGATTTTATTCTTATATCTTATTTGTACTTGCAATCTTATTTTTCTCTCTTCTGTAAATGGTTGAACTGCAAGAAAAAAAATTCCCGCAACGGATTAATAAAGTTATTCTGATTCAGGAAGTCCTTTGGCAAAATTCAAATAAGCCATTTTAATCTAGATTAATCTAGATTAGTTCCAAGATTACTGTGAGATTAATCTAGATTAAAAACAAAATGTATATTAGATATATATTTAAAGTATTAATGTCAAATAATTGCACGCACTTATTTTAAGACACTCGATTTTAATTTACATTTACTTATTTCACTCTGTACCCATTTAGTCCTTGGCTTCTGCAGAGCAGACTCATCATGAAATCATTTGAACTGTCAACTTGGCCCATCAAACTCAGTGGGGGGTAGAAGGGCTGCTCCCATAAAGACCCTGATGTCTGCTTCACAGACATCACATCCTGTCACAACAAGACAGGACAAACCCTCCAGTTTTCTTTGACTCCAAGTTTAATTATTTATATAAAAGCAGAAATAACTTCAATAATATTTTTTCAATTTATTTACCACACTCTCTCAGTGAGCAACTCCAGTCTCTATATGACTACTTTATTCACTAATATTTCTGACAATCTTATGAGAGACTGTTAGCTGGAGCGCGAGGGTAACATTGATCCTGTTTGAAGTCTGGCAGCCTCCTACCTGCTTGACAACGCTGAGGTTTGGCATGTGACATCCCCATCTTATGACAGTACATTACACGCCTATGGAGTTTAAGGTTTGCTAACCTGTCAAGAACATGAATACCTTGACAACTAAATCAGGTCATTGCTACTTTTAAAAGATAATTTGGCAGACTTTTTTTTCCTTCCACTCAATTTTCCTTTATAATGGTTGAAAAGTGTACCTTATGTAGAGTTGGCTCATTCAGGAAATATCTTATCCATCAACTTAGCAGTGTCCTAATGTATCGTAGGCTACAACATGTTCATTAGATAATATTTCTTCTCCTCTACATCAGGTTAATGTAATAAACTAACTTATTATTTTGGAATTTGTTGAAATGCACCTGTATTACAAAATGTGTGCAGTTGTAGTCTTACATCCACGTCATCACAGAGACGAGACCCGGATCCATACTGCAGGCGACACTGATGAACTGCGGTGTACAGAACGCCAGGAAGCACTGAGGTAAGAGACAACCTGGCCTTCATCGGGGCATCATCCAGGCACCACCCCCAGCCTCGACTGTGATGGCAAAATAGAAATAATGAGTTAATTTTTTGGAAAGAACTCCTTGTATTACAATTATTTCATCTTTAAAACACGTTTATGGTCCACTCTCTGCAAAACAGTTTTATGCATCAATTTTATGCAACAATCGTACAGTGCATGCCTGGCATGCACTGTGCGTACAGTGCATGCCAGTCGTGCAAGAATTTTTTGATCGGGCCTGACTTTATGCCTGATTGTGCGTAGTGTAGTGTACAGGAATCGTAAGGTCAGGAGAAAATCAAACATGTTGTGAAATTCAGTCGGCCGTCGGAAGGTGGTTGTGGGCAAATCGCTCAGTATGCATGTATACACAAGGATTCTTCTTTTTCCTCTCAGATAAAAACACAGAAGCATGGCAGGGATGCGAGTAAAATGGAGTTCTTTCTGTAAAATCGACAGACTTTATAGTAGGCAGTGTGTTTCAATGTAGAGAGATTCATATTCCTCCTCTACTCGTTTGACTTCCGGATAGACGACTCCGAGCAGCTCCATCTCACTGCGGAGTTGAGTCCGACGTGGTTTTTAGATGTACAGTGTGAGCAGGTAGATCGCATCAAAGCGTCGGGTCGTTTGAGAACATACATGGTGATCTGTGAACTCACACTGTACGATGAAGCCCTGAGCTTGTTTGTACAGTGTGAGCTGTAGCCGTATGCAACGATTGAAAAAAAATCGTACAGTGTATGGCCGGCCTAAGAGGGTTCTCCTTGAAGAAACAGTGAAAATAATGAAAAGTTATTAGTTCAACCATGAGCAGTTTAAGGGAACAAAAAAAAAATACATTAGGATATATAAACTTTATGCTTTGCATACACATAGTTTTATGGAAACTTTGTCTATGAGTTTATTACCATGCATGTTTCAGGTGGATAAACACAGATTCATTAAAAAATTAAGCAAAGGGCAGATGTTGGGTATATTAAGTTAGATTGTAATACTCTAATTATTAATGGATGGAGTTAATGGGGTAAGAATTTCTGCAAAAATGCCAGAGATCAAAAAGCGAAACAAGCTCATAACTAAATATGAAAATGAAGTGGATCACAACAACTGGTACGTTGGTTGAATAAATATCAAATTATTCAAAAATAACAAATTCAGAAAGAAGAGAGAGAACATTGCGGGTCAATAAAACAAAAACACAAAAGAAAAGTGATGTACTTGTACTGACAAGAGAAGAAACATTTGATAAGATACAGATCCACATGTCCTGTTAGGCTACAGTATCTTACAAAATAAAAGGAAGATCCAGATTTCAGCACATGCAGTATGTGATTGGACTCTTGGATATTTCAACAGTGGCTTGAAATAAATTACAGGTTTAAAGGATTTGCTCTGATTAAGCCAATAGTAAAAGTTTTTAATCTCCTCTATTTGTATCAGGAGCTTCTAGAAAAAAAAAAGTATAACTTCCCTAACTAACTGTCTATAATCAGATATGTGCTGTTTAAAATGATCTGCTTTCATGACATCAAATCCCTGTCAAACTAAACAACCACATGAAATGTTAAGGTGAATACTACAATGCGCTCTTAAAAATGAATAATGAAAGGCAGCAGACAGGAGTGTAAACACACCTTTCAGCTTCTGAGGCTTTAAACATTCTTTAGTATTAAACTAGGTCTTTTCATGTTAATCATAAACAGTCAGATATTAAGGACAGTCTTATCCTTATCAATGTACATTAGTATTTTTCATGTTTTTGTTTAGACCAAGACTCAAGGAGAACCTGTGGATTCTGCAAAGATAACTGATCAAACCAAGTAAAAACAAAACCTTATCACTTGTTTTGCTGTTTCATTAGCTCAGCAGCCGAGGTACAACATGAATGCAAAGCTACTGCAGGCGAGACTCTCAACTGGTTTTAAATGACATGTAGAAGCAGAAGCGAATTATAACTGAATATATGGAAAGGTTCACAAGGTCAAATGGGTAATTAGTGGCCATGACTATATAGTAAAAAACTTTCTTTGGTTGTTTCTGTGTTCTACCCAACAGGGGAATCACTTGACTACAAAAGCAACAAGGTGGATGCTTTCTGTTTTTGGAAAAACATCAGAATCTGAGTGGATACTGAAAAGAACAAAAAACACACAAAAAAAAATGGGTGAAGTGTTTAACTGGCAACAGCAAGTGGGACTCCAATTTATCAGACAAGGGAACAATCAGTGCATCAATCCTGCTATCACAATGCAGCACCTCAGTGGCTTAAAGCTTTGGCTTGGCTTCTACATGAAAATTGCCTTTAGCTCATAGTAGCAATGGTGTCATTCTGTTATTGCAAAACCTGCTGAACATTATAATATTGTATAACATTGTACTAATTTCAAATGGTAATATTCTTTACTGAAGTGCTTTACACTACATCCAGTCATTCACCAGACATTCACACAGGATGGATACCTCCCTGTTGCCACAGCTGCCCTGGGGCAGACTCACAGAAGATAGGCTTCCTAACAATTAGTTCCACCAAGTCCTCTGACCAACAGAAGTGGGAAAGGTGTTTACAACCGAGCATCCACCATTAACATGACAAACCCCTACTGTATCCTGAGCCAGCAACACCCCTTTGTTTGATTGCACAAAAAAAGGACACTTTAATAGTCTGATTAACATTCTGCTTTTTTAACAAGAGTTGCGGAATATTGTATAATAGGATGGGGAAAAAGAATGCTTCTTCATCACTAAGAATATCAGCGGTATTCTTGCTTTGATTTTTTTGTGGAAAATAACAAAAATTTATACAATTCAATTTGCTAGTTGATAGTTAGGGGTCACATTTAACCCTTTAACTAAGAAGCAATCATAGCTCATAGCAGCTTTTACCATTTTGTAGTAAAAAAAAAAAAAATGAATGGTATAAACTTGTTAATTAATGGTGTGTTACAATTTAATGACATTAATTAATTAAGACAAAAAGTAATAGAATAGAAAATCCCTCTGGTGTTTACAGCAGCAAAAAGATTTTACAAAAAAATTTGTTTTATACATTATTAAATTTCCTAATTTATTATGAATTATGTGGAATATTCCTTTTAACCATTGTGTAACTATAAGAAACTAGACCAGAAGTTTTCATCTTAGAAGTCACACATAGTAAGAACAACATTATAATTACTTACTACATTAATAATTACAACTTATTACTAAAAAAATGAAAAACAAAATGGGAAGAATAATATTTACATAGAAGTGTTGGATGTAAAGCACCTGCTTGCAAACACATTTAAGGGACACATGCTTAAGTGTTTAAAATAAAAATAAAAAGAATATCTTAAGGAGAACATGCAGGCAGCAGCTACCTTAGTAGTATAATATTTACTAAAGGTATATCAAAGGTTTATTTTACCTATTCTAAACCAAAGGCCATATGATGCCTGATGCTGACATTATATAATGTTTGACAGTCTACAGGTCAGTTTCTTTAATAATCAAACTCACAATAATAGAACAAAGTATAGCAATGCCACATTGGAGTCTTTGAAATGGATAAAACAAAATTTCAAATTAACAAGCTTTCCTTTCAAACACAGTTTAAAGGTCAAGAGAAAATATAGTGAGAAAATCAAAGACTTCATTTTAACAGTTTTTTTGTTCATTCTCTTTGTCCCACATTAAATAATCATCGTCCTTGGTGCAATCTCTTCAAAATATACCTTTATTTAAAATTAATTAAAAACTTGGAACGATAAATCCTGACTGAGGTTTTGAGTTTCTTACATCACCCTATTTTTTTGTTTTCTTTTTACACACTGAGGACAATGTTTTTTTCTTGACAAAATTTGTACTTTTTTCACAAAATGTATTTTGCACCATCTAACCTTATGCTTTACCAAAGAGAGCCCCAAGAACAAATTTTACAAAATAAGCAGATGGTCTGATGTTCAGCTGAGGTGTCTGTTTGAATAGATGTTTTTGTGAAAAGGAAAAAAAAAGTGAGTGTTTGTAATCTCTTCCCCAGAAGAGGATGGGGAAAAGAAACAGCCCCTTCAAGGTAAGAGGCTGTTTTTATGTCTGTGCTTTATTCAATGCTGCTATGACATGTTCCTGATCAAAGTAGTGCAAATAGAGCATTTCCCAGGTGGGATCTATGTCAACAAGTCTAGCCTCCTTTGGACTTGTGCTGCATAAATTCAATCCAGGTCTGGTGCACAACATCCCACAATCCCCTGTGCTGCCCTCACCCATTGAGCGAAGCTCTTCTTAACCTGTGCAGTACAGCTCTCACACTGTCACACTGCGGCACAGGAGGATTTCAGTTGCAGCCCTGTTTGAGTACAGACAGTAGCATCAACCACCCAAGGAGGAAGAAGTGTGTTAAGCTTTCTTCACCAGATGGAAGGCATTATCAGTCTATACAATGTTTGTGGGTTTAGCTTTTGCTGCCAAAGTAGCTCTGAACCATGGAAGCATGGATTCCAAAAGAAGCTGGAAATCTGTTATTGTATACAGTATGGCACCAAGGTTTTAGATGTTGGTGCCATATACAAAAGGGAAATGGAAACATTTGAAAGTATTTGTGGACTCTTCCCCAGCCTCTTCTGGGGAAGCAGAAAATCCATCATGCTTTGCACTGAGACCTCACCAGATGTGACTTGTTTTCCCAAACAATTGGATAAAGGCTTATTGGAATAAGATCTGTGAAAATCTGGAAAACAAGTCAACACCGACACCGTATTGTTCCACTTCTAAATCCATTTCTGAATTGTTTTTATTTAGTGTTAATGTGAATTAGTCTGCAAAAAGAGGCAAAAAAGAAGCAATTTTCTATTTTTTACCTCAAATAAATTAACTTTGAGAGCAGAAGGTTCACTCGCTTCTTAATTTATACGGACTAACAGCAGGTGCCATTGTGAAGAGGTAATCAGTCTGATTCACTTCAACTCTGCACAGTGATAATGTTATGCCAGATTGCAGTGTGAGCAGCATAAAATGACACCGATTTTATAAAATATAATGAACGAATCTTTGAA